TTTTGAAACTATTTAATTATTCAATAACTTCTTATGCATTAAAATTTGTAGAAAAAAATTGACGAAAATTTTCCGCCGCTGGGGGAATCGAACCCACATCTTCTTGAATCCCGCCCATATTTTAGTTTTTCCCCTTAAGTGCAGAGATTAGCACTGTTAAAACTTAATATTAAACTTCTTAAGCAGTCAATAAAAATTATTTTAGAAAATGTAACTTATTGTGAATAATTTGTATAATGGAACAATGTTTAGTTCCTTCATAAAAGAAATCAGAAAATAATGAAAGAAATAGGAAATTACTTTTTGTGGAATTTTCCAAGATTTTATAAAATCATGGAATAGTTTATTTTTATTTTTATTTTTATTTTTATTTTTATTTGACATAAATTTGCAATTTCCGGGAAATCTTACAATTTAACAATATCAACAAACCGCATGTTACGCAAATATCCATTAGACCAGGATCTACTTTAAACAAATGAGGTTAGATAAACTATTGTAATAAAACAAACGTGATTCGTTTCTAATTCTAATGCTTAAGAGTACTTTGTACGCGCATCCCATCGCGGCGTCTTTTATTGATTGTATATACTTTTCATAATGTTAAGTAACGAATTGAGGCTTCGGTGTACATCCAGATGAGTCTCAACACAATTTATGCAACTGATTATAAGAATTTGTCGCTAGTTTCCTGATGCAGAATAATGTTTTGAACCATTTGTGGCATTTTTAAAAATAAATATTTAATTAAAAGTTTACAAAGTGTAACTCAAATGGGGGCTCAGTTATTTTGATAATGTTAGACATGAAATTAGCAACTCATTTTTAACTGCCTTTATGAATTTCATTCATTTGTCTTACGACTCCTGGCTCTTGCGTCGTAAGAATAAATTACACTTAAGTCTTGTTTACACTGTGGCAAATTATCACAATAATTGCCACAAATGCTACAGCATTAAGTCAAGTACTACACCATAATAAATTGCGTACACAATTGAAATATTTAAGGTTCCGTTGACATCACGTCTGTCCCTATGTATGCTTAGATTTTTAAAACTAAGCAACAGATCTTGATGCGGTTTTTTTTACTAGATAGAGTGATTCAAGTGGAAGGTTTATATGTATAATTCATGCATAATATAGTAAAGAAACACTGATAATTTTAGAGGTTTCTAATGTCGAAAACAAACATTCAGCATTGCACCCGTGCGAAGCCGGGGCGGGTCGCTAGTAGCACAATAAAATTATTTTTATATATAGGTATATGTTTATATAATCGTTCATCGAAATCTAATTTTATCCTTACTATGGCAACTTTCATATCATATTTTCTTTAAATAGACATACAACTATTAAACCTATTATAGAATATTGTTTCTCATATAACTTTTATTACTTATTTAAAAAATACACAAAAGCTGAATTTAATGGCTCCGGAACTGTACTTAATAATGAGACAACTTATGGTGTGGTAAAATTTAATGGTAGGTGCGAAAAAGTAAAGACTCAAAATTCTTATAGTTAATATTTTGCATAGTACTCATATTACATCATCAGAATTAAAATGCCAGTATTTCATTCTTCTTGCTTTTTTGTATCTTAAAAACTGTTCATAAGCCATAACTAAGGTTATGATTACGGAAATAATTGTAAAAATATTTTGAATAGTTATGAAAATAACATAACATTAGTATTGTCCGTGAAATATAAAGTTTGTAAAAATTTTATAAACCTCTTGATCCCATGTATTTATATGCGATATCGAGGTTTATAATATTTATTTAAATGGCCCGGTAACATCCATATCTATTTTAAGGATACCACATTGAAAATTAATTTTTAAAAACAAATTCAAAGTGTTAATCGTATAATGTATGACATACGTATTTGACATTACTATAAAAGTTTAATTGGAATATTGAGGTCATAGGAAGTGAAAGTGGCATGTCCTTATTAGCCAGGATCTGTGGGCGATGACCCGCTCTATCGGGATGCGTCTTGTTAGGAAAAGAAAATCACATATAGCCAAATATATAGTAACATTGAGCAATTGCATTGCTGTTAACGTCACTAACGCCTAAAGCTAAAGTTGATTTTTATGGAAAAGGAGGCGAGCAGCCAGCAAGCGTGTCAAGCAACTCAGGGACATGCAATATCAAAGGAGTCATAAATGCGTTACCGGCCTTTCTGGGAGGAGTAGGCTTTTTTTGAAGGTCCCGCTAAACAAACTGCTGGCGACGACTCGTTTTTAGGGTTCCGTGTCTTAAAAGGTGAAAAAGGAACCCTTATAAGATCACTCTCTTGTTTATGTACATTACGTATATAACTATGCCCCATTGGGATGCGATACTTTAAATTACCTGTAATTCTAAATATACAAGATCAAAAGAGATGTGTCTGTTTTCCAACCATCCAGACACAATTCGTTATAGCCTGTGAACAGATTAAATAACTGAGTTGACAGAGATATTTTTAAAACAGCCCTTCAAATAGCTTTAAGCTTTTAGATGAAGAAATTACCATCTCCTATTCAGAACAAAAACTTTTGAGTGTCGGGTTTTGGTCTGGGTGACTCTAAAGATGTTGAATACCTAATCGTTTTCTTGTCCAATACCGAACTCAGCTAAGATAATGTTTAGTTTGTCCATTTTACTTTTAGGTGTATATATTTGTATTCATATGCTCATGGGTTTATTTAATATATTTCATATACATAATAAATAGACAATAATCTTAAAGCCACTATGTTATAGACCTAAGTAAACACCTTTTGTATTCCGAATATAGGGAATTACCGCTTAGTTAGAATGTACCACACACTTGGTAAAAATTCTTATGTATTTCTTTTGTAACTACCTTATATTTCATCACTTTTTATTATAATTAGTCCACTAGCTTCGCCAGTTCGAAAATTTTTTTGTTGTACATAATATAGTATTTGTATTTTCTCTGTAAGTGATTTGGTGTAAATCTTTTGAGAAAATAAATGTCTTAAACCTTAGGTGATGTAGGATTTCCAACCTGGAACAATTAATTATGAATTTATTTCGATTGTTTGTTAAAATGTACATGACATGGCATGCATCAAATGAGTTGTTGGATGCATGCAATGTCATCTATCCAAAATGTTGCATCATTAACAACAGATCGGTGCAAAGAGAATTTTGTCCATTAAAAATACGTTGAAATAATAAAATACTAAAAAAGTGTATCTTAAGATGTAAATAAACAGTAAGGCAGAATATACATGTATGCTACTTCCAATAACAATTGTAGCAGCCTTGGCGTGTTTACGGTCCATAAGCTGTTTTCTATGGTTAGACGCTATATTATTTTAAAGGTTTGGTTGTACGCGAGAAGGATTTGTTTATTTATGGATTTATCGCATTCTTGCAGTGTTGCATTGTAAAGTTTTGTTTGCAACTTATGGTGGTCGAATTGTGAAACAATTTTTTAAAGATGTCTTTGTAATAGTTTATACGAAGCTCTTTTGCTGTCGTGGGAAAGCAATATATATTTATAATTGAAAATTTTACATTATTCAATGTCTACTTTTACCAGATTCAAGATGTTATTGGCATTTAATGGCTATATTTTGACAAACTATTCAAAGACGGATTATTTCAAAATTTACATATTCTTGACAAATACTTGAATTCTGGACTGTTGCTAATTAATTGATGTTTCTTAATTTCGTAAAATAGATTTCAACTATAATCGGTATGAGCTATAAATTCATTTGTAATGATTATTCAAAATCATGAATGAAATACTTTTTATTGTTTGCAGTTTTTATTTCTAGCCATATTGTATTAAAATTTTTATAATCATTATCCAATACATGTTTTTAATTTCATATTGCAAAAGTATTCAATTAAATAATAAAACAATAATTAACCAATTAAGTAAAAATAACGCGGACGTCCGTCATAAAAATAACACAAAAAGTAGATAATTTAGCGTGTGAAACATGATTATTGGGAGTAATAATTTTTTCTCCGAAATGAGCGGAATTTTATTCGACTCGCAGGCAGAATCCGGTACCTAAGTTTTTAAGGTAAATTTTCGCAATACGAGACAAAAAAATAGTGGACGGTGTTTAGTAATCAATAAAGTAATAAATAGTAAATAATATATCTTAATATGACATGTTCCAGTTTTAGTAGAAATTTTTTTTAATGTAATCAAACAACTGGTGTTGTGTTTAATTCATAGTTGTTACAAGCAAATTTATAAAATATGTATATGTTTTTGGGAATGTTAGACAATTTTTCACAATTAACTATTTTTCATAAGAAACTGGCCTGTGTTTGATTGCGATTTATGTGAATTGTCTTTAGGGTCGCAGATTATAAACGTACCTGCTTTATGAAAGCCTAATTCATCCTTTCTTTAAGACGCCGGCGTGTTGGGAAACAAATTTTCTACAAGTCTCTCTTTAAAGTGGTCGGCATGTATGTGTAACTATTATGAATTGTTATAATTATGTTGACATAAAGCTTAACAAATTGTACGTTACGCCGTATAGTCTCGTCATGGTGTCATCAAAGATGTGTTAGAAATGAGTGTTTATTAAGTCGGCGCCAACTCAACACGGACGAAACGTTATCAGTAGAATCTTATGTGGACCGAACTTCATTTAATACATTCAAAACATTATTCTAATTTTAATTTTAGATCATGATAAATATAATGCTTTTTTGTTACTGTTTCTGTTGCGTTCCTTTTGGAGGGGAGTTTTCATCGGTTGTAGTAACATATTATCTTGTCTGTGTCTTTGAGTCTTGATGAACATGAGTACAAATCCCGTTGTTAATCAATCAAATCTAAATCGTAATATTAAGCAAAAATCTGAATGGTATTCCGATTTAGATTTCTTACAGTCCGTTTCATTATAATTATATAAAAGTGCAATATACCGAACAAATCATTGATACGAGGTGGTCGTGATAGTTGGTTCTGTGTTTTTTTCCCATTAAAAGTATGTTATCCATTTCCAGGTGTCCAGTAATGTTTTGATATGCCGAGCACAGCGGTTTCGCGTGACATCGCCTCAGTGTCACCAACTGATACCAAGACCTACGAGGATGCTTTGGCAATTGTACGTATGAAATGAGAATCACTTTGTTATATAAAGTTTTAACTGTTTGTAAATGTTACCTAGGCTATGTATACTAGGATAGGTAATAGCAGGGCCATGCAGTAGCTTCTGCTAATGTACCACCTCCTCAAAGTAGACTGACGTTAAGTGGAAGTATTATAGTTATACGTTTAATCGGCTGAGTATGGTAATCAGAGCACAGATTTTTAAAGGTTGAGAAACTCGTATAGGCATCAAAAACAGATATCACTTAACGTCAGGTGTTCCACTTGCTTGCTTTCATTACATAAAAATTCATCAAACGTCAGTCAACTTATGGAGAGACAATAAGAAAGGACATTAACACTTGATTGATTATACGGCAGGTATCAACCGGTTTCACGTAATTTAATAAACAGACCATTGTAATGATTGGGCTAATATGATTTTAACAATTTAATAATTTGATTTTGAAATCTTGACACGGACGCATTTTGTCGTACTATATGACTTGAGTTTTCTTCCGTTACTACACTATTTCTACGGTCGACAGCTGACCTTCAAAGCGGTTCGGCAAAATGCACACGATCAGCAAGTCTGGGATTCTTTAAAGGAGGCTTAAGATTACCTGTAAACTTTTATAGGGCGATATTATAAAACTTCTACTAAAAGATACAGAATATCCTGTCGTCAGCGTGTATGGCTTGGTATAAAAATAAATTGTTTGCTATGATAATAATTAGCTCATGGTCCGGGCGCTCGCTTTTAATTCACAATACTCGAACTAAATCTGAGTTCGATCCCCGGCGCCAATGAAATTGTTAATTTAAAGTGCTGTCTTATCACGTGCTCAGAAGGAAAACATCGTGAGGAAACCTGCACATTATGCAAATAATAACAAGAAAAAAAAATTGAAAATGTGAAGTCCGCCAATATGCAGTGGGGTCGCGTGGTTGACTATGCCCTAACACCCTTTGTACAGAGGAGGCCTTTGCCCAGCGGTAAGACATATTATATAGGCTGTTCTTTTCTTTTGTTTAAATATAATTAATAAGTAATTGCTTAAAGCAAAATTATTCAATTTAAGGGAGGACATTGAGAAATATTCTTAATATTAGTTGATGCTCGTAAAAATGGTAATTATGAATAATTTCAAAGAATCCTCGCAGATTCGGATTTTGACTGCAGATATTTTCCAGAATGTGTGTCCGTTTCTTTTTAAATTCTATTGATTACTCAAAAGTTAATAAACCCTTGCGTTGGCTTGGTCCAACAATATTGTTATATATTTGACTCATCGAAAAGCAATAATCTGAAAGCATCGTCATAGTAACCGATCTTGCTTAATTACACGGGATATAATTTTGCAAAAGTGTGTAAATGACTCCCGCATCCCAAATCAGTTTACATTCCCGCCTAATGCTGTCTTGGTCGACTACGGCAGAGGATTGTAGTTTAGTTTGATTGAGTTGATATGAAACTACGGCACTATTCCAAATGTTCACGTCAAGTTAATACGTAAAAAAATGTTTTACGGAAATCTGTATAAAAAAAAATGGAAACTCATCGTACGACATAGGCAATATTCCCTTAATGTCACCGGTTCATTGTAGTCAAATATCTTTTAGTATGGATTACATAAATTTTTGTTTCAATTGAATATTTATTCGCAAACCTAGCTAATGAATGTAATCAATTTTAGTCAATTGCCAATTGAAGTCTTATAGAGGTCGCGTAGCATTTCTAAAGCAGCATTAATATTGAAAAGTTGTGGAATGAGCTCTTATCGCGCGGCACGATGAGCAACATGAAGTATCGATGAAGCATACATTTTCACCGAACCGCGACGTTTCAGCGCAATATCACGTATTGGCGGCGACTTAACGACTGGGCCGCTCTGTTGTGTGAATGGAAAATGTCCATTATAAGCCAAACGTACGTACACAATCCACCTGCATACAATAGCATCGTAGTTTAGTTTAGTGCAGTTCCCAGCATCTGACGCGCGCCACCTCTCGCGGATTTCGTTTTAAGAATTAACGATGGACGATTTTTGCTACGTTGTTCAGTTATAGCGATGTTCTCTCGTGAAATAAGTGTGAAATTCTGTGTGTAGTGTCGTATCGGATTACGTAAAATTAAGTGCCGCGTCGAGTGTTTACTTAGGCGTTTAGTGTTTCTAAATCGCTATAGGGCAATAGGGTGTTGTTAGCTTTGTTGTTATTCAACAACATAACCGTGGAAGGCTTGCGTGCGAAACTGTTCGCTTGATATCGGTTCTAACCTTGGCCCTTGAGTTATTTAGTACGGTCGATGTTTTTTGTTTTCTTTTTGTGTTCATTACATAGGCAGTCGCAATTCGAATTTTTTGAAGCAATGATTTATCTCCTTTTTTAATTAGTTATCTTATTTTCTTTATATATACATTGTTTTCTTTAGTGACTTAAGTGATATTTTTCTTAAACAAATGATTATCGTACTAACAATACCTGGCATGCGTTAATTGCCAATTCAGGAAAAAGTGTTATAATAATATTTTTCCTTTTTGCTCAGACGGATACATAAAAAAAAATATTTTTAGGCCAGGTAGGTACTAGCACAGTATTATTCAAAAGAGTTCCAACCCAATCAGTTGTATGGTTAAGAAACGCATAGGGGACAAACATTCTAAAAATCATTTTCAGTTCTTCTTAATCTTAAGTTTAGTCAAAATAACTTATCTTTATAGCTCAAGTTTAAAATATTTTCGCAATGGTGGGATCGTAACGTAATTAATACATCTAGGCGATAATGTTTAGTGAAATCGGAATTTCAAATTGTGCTCGGTTATGCGTAAACAAGAATGAGCCGTTGAATAACATTTGAGCAGCATATTAGGTTGCGCGGACGCTTATCTTGATGACAGTGAAATCGATTGGCCTTTGGTAATAAAGGGGTTAACAACAAGAGGCTTTGGCCGCGATTTCTGCACGTTACGGATATCTGTTTGTTTTTGTTTTTCATGTGGGAAGTGTTAGCTTGAACTTAAGTGATTACCGCCGCCTATTGACATTATGCCACGATGGTTGCAGATGCGTTACCAACTCATGAACGGATGGGCCGCGGTAGACTAAAAAAGTAAAGTGTCGACATATACATGTCTTATTGCTGGGCTAATGCCTCCTCTGTACTACATGTACCCTCTGTATTAGGGTATACTCCACCACCCGATCCCATTGCGGATTAGCAGACTTCACATTTCAACGAAATATTTTTTTTTATTGTTTCAAAATAAGCAGGTTTTCTCAAGATGTTTTCCTTCGCTGCTGAGGACGTGATAAGTCAGCACTTTAAAATAACAATTTAATTGGTGCTGACACTGGGATTTAAACTCGTTGCTAGAGTATAATTAATTAAAAGTGAGCAACCGGCAACTGAGCTATCACGGCTCTTTTACCAACTCAATTAATTACCAACCGCCATAATATAATACTTATGCGTGAGAAGTCCCCGTACGAGCTTAATCATGGACAAGATTTTGATGATAGCAACAGTTACATTAAAATAATTGTATACTTATTATCATTTCGTTACCGACGCATAAATATTTGACTGTGTGTAGTTTGTGTTACAGAGGATACTACGATATAGGCTAAACACATCCTATTAAATAGAATAATACACAAGAAATATACCGTATTCTAAATAAACTGTTAGAGTCCACTGCTGGCTGGAAATATGCCTCCCCCACATATTTCCACGATAAAAAAGATAGTTGCGCCAAAATATTAATGCCTATTTTTTACTAATATTTATAATGTTGAATATTATATTACCTAATGTGCTGGTAATAAAGTTTCAGGTAATAAAGTTGCGTATTATAAAAATTGGATATCGGTTCTCACAGTCTTAAGAACAGTCGGTGACCATCGAAGCCTAGGTCCGTAATTATTTCACATACTGACGGCGCGCTCATGAATCTTTTACAACTTAACATTGATAAAAGTAAATTACTGCTCCAAGTTTTAATTTAGCACGCGGAGTATTTCCTATGAGTCCAAAAAGGCATAATAGGCGACACTATTACGCTTTTACGACCAACCTATATAATATACGTCTAAACTTAAATTTAATAGGTAATTTCAGCGCATTGAATTAATTCTAAAACGTTTCCATTCATAGAATGCGCTATCCCTGAGCAAGAAAGTCAATTCTAGTAAAATATTTTATCAATTCAGATTAATAAGCTAAAATATTTGACAGTTATCACGCTATAAGCGGGCTTTAAGTACATATGATACTAGCGACGATCCCCGCCTTCGCCCGTGTGATATTCAGTTTTAACAGATAGAAATTATACCATGCCGATCAATACCTCTACCTTAGGAATTGGCTTATTGATAGTTATTTATAAAAATAATTTGTTTTCACGTTATTATTTTAAAATAAAAGTGTTTTATAAATAACAGTGGTTTAAAAAATATTTCTGTCTCCGACTGTATTTAAGATATCATACCTTATTGAAGCTTTATTTGTGACCCGAATAATTTCGACTTAGTTGTCGATAATATATAGCCATTACATTTATGCACAATATATCACATATATCCAAGGACACATATGGACTATAAATATTTTTCCTCTATCACTTCAAAGGTACGTTATTAAAACTGGTATAATGTTATTTTCAAATGGTGATTATCATAAAAAGGGCAGAACTACTACCATTTACTTTACTTAACAAAATCTACACGCATTATTTATAATAATTTAGTAAATACTATATTTCTTATCCTGAAGTCCCACGGAAGCATGGTTACTTTTAATGGCCAAAAGATTAAGAGAAATAATAAATTCCTAATAAATAAAGTATTCATACCGATATAACCATAACAGTCAATAAAGTAAATAACCTAATATGTCTTTGTCCTAGGTTTACTTTCCGATTAACTTTGAAAGTATTAACATTTCTAAATTAAAACGTTAGGTACTTTCATTTGAGTCATGCACGGGTTATATGATTACACATCAGCGATAAACAACTCAAAG